TAAAAAATATTTTCATAAATTGATGCATTGAAAACATCAAAGCATTTTTATGTCCTTTAAAGGACATGAAACCATAAAATGTGGAAAATGAATTTAGAGACTTATGTGCCTCGAGTTGATGTGTTTTAACTTACCCTGACCTGAAGCAAATTAATTGTGGAGGGTGACTGCTTATACAAAAAACAGATTTAAAAACAGCCCTGTCATACTGTGTCTGCAGGCTCATCTAGAAGACCTAAGTGGAGAAGAGTATATAGTATTTGGAATGGTCCTCTTCCTGTGGGAACATGTACCGGCATGGTCAGTGGTCCTCTTTTTCCGGGCGCAGAGATTAAACCAGAATTTGGTATGATATCATAATATTTCCCAATACGTGTTCCCCTTATTTTTTTTAAAAAATAATGGAACATTTATATCGATTTTCTGTTTTTCTGGCAAAGCTTAAAACTAAAAAGCATTCTAGATCTCAGCCTCCTTTCTTAGTTGAAAAGTAAATCTTCATATGCTATCTAACACTTTGTTTACAGGCACCTGCTGGCATGATAAATAGTCACAATTATAGTTCCAGAGCTTACTTTTTCGACAATCCAAGACGATACGATAGTGATGATGACTTGCCAAGACTGGGAAGTTCAAGAGAAGGAAGGTAGATATACTGAATTAGTACTGAATAGATTGAAAAGAACAAACCTAAGCTTTACCCCAAACACGAGAAAGGTAGATTTGGTGCCATATGAGAGTAAACTGGATCTTAGAGTCCCCGTAGTGGGAACTGTACTATAAAGAACTATCATCTGACTCTAAGGCCATATATTACCTTTATTTGAGAAACGCCTTTAGGCGTAAAATGGTATGCCATCTCCTTTCAGGATTCCATGTTGGTTCAAAGCTGGCAGGGGTTGATGAGCAGGGAAGGAATACAATTAGAGTAATTATATGTTTCCTTATCTATAGTGCTATTCAAAACCCAGCAAGAAACTCCAGATGAAACTCTCAGGAAGCTTAGGTGCCATAGGAAATCTTGTGTCCTTCTTATTCTAAAACCATTGCAGCTCTACACCTTCAGCTGTGTAGCAGGGCAAAGAGAAAGCCTAAATGCATACCTCCATATGCACTGAGCTTGATATAGCATTTTCTGTAATTCTCACTTCATCTGGACAAGTTCCTTAACCCTTCTTTACAGCCTGTTCTTCATCTGTAAAACAGTGGTAATAGAATTTATCTAATAGGATTGTTGTGAAGACTAAATAGGGTATGTGCTTGTGTATACATTATCATAAATATACACACACACAAACATGTCTTAGCATAGAGCCTAGTCCTTGATAAGTACTATATTATTATCTGATCATCAAGTTCTAATTCTGATGTATTTATTCTTTTGTAATATGTGATATAAAATCAAGGATATTAGATAAAAGTCATTACATTTTATAGAAAACTATTATTTGGCAAAGAATATATTTCAATAGATGTGATACTAACTGGATTATAAAAGTCACTGAACGCTAAAAATGCCAATGTGACCTATATCCTGATCACAATCCTATGGGGTTTTTTTGCCTTTTGTTGTTGCAGTTTATCGAATTCGCAAGGTTTGGGCTGGTATGGCACCATGACCGGGTGTGGTGGCAACAGTTACACAGTCTCTCCCCACCTGAATGGACCTGTGACAGATAGTGCTCCTTTGCTCTTTACTTGTAGCAACTTAGATATGAGCAATCACCATAGCTTGTATGTAACACCGCAGAACTGACAGCCCTACCACGCTGGGATTCCTCCATTGTTTTTCATGAACGTGTATATTTGATGTGTTTAAATTCCACCTACATAAACATTCCATTATCTGTTGCAACTGAAAACAAAGTCTGGAAATGTTGCTGTGTTGAGCGAGGACAAACTTGTTACTTTCGACTTCTTCATAGCAAAACGAAGTTAAATGGGAAGTTTGGAGTGGGAGAAAAGAGGGATCTTAGATCTTAAGACACTTGATGGCTGCAAACATCCTGACTTTGGAAGAGCAAATGCATATTTGCATATTTGCACTTTTATCTTTGTTCTGAAAGAGTACACTGCAGTCCCCAAAGTCACCCTTCAGTGCTCAAACTGGGATATTATATTGTACACCTAATCAGGAGGCAATTTTCCTATGAAAAATCAAAGCCTGTATATTCAGTGGTGTATTCTATGTAGAATTCTTACCCAATAAAAATTTTACAGTGTGAACAGTGCACAGGATTAAGGCATAACAATGTATCATTCTTTTTTAAAATCTGAAATACATGTAATCATTGAAGATAGTTCTTTTAAGCATGATTGTAAAATACCAACTGAAATTATTCAATCATTTTTTTTAAACGACCATAGTAATCCTTTACAGTGATGACCAGCAGTGTTCTTTAGAAAGTCACAGCCATTTCTTCAAGAAGAAAGTATACCAGTGAAAATTATGTGGCTATTTTGAGTAGAATTGGTCAAGTGATTATTCTGTATGATTAAGATACCTGTAGTAGTTTAAGCATGATTCTTCAAGAAAGCAATAGTGATTTTTGCATAGGGAGATTTTGGTAGAAACTTCTTGGGACTAAACAAGTTTACAGATGCATTTAAGAATTATTCATAAAATGTACAATTCTAAGTTAAAACACGAATACATTTTCAAAAGCATTGGATTTAGCTGAACAAGATATAGCTGATTGTACCCATTGAATCAGAATTGTCCTCAGGTAAATTAAGTCATGATACATTATTGCAGTAAACCCAAGTGCAATACTTTGTAAGACATTTAATTCCTCCTTTAGTTTTCCCAGTTTTATATCTTGTAAATGGGCAAAGCCAGATTAAATTTAATTCAAATTAATTCCAGCACTAAATAAGCAAACTGACGTAAGGTACTAACTAGGTAAGTATAAAACCACCACTTAACAATTTTGAAATACTTCTAGAATTATATTAAAACTGTCTTAAATGTCCTATCCCAAATCTAATATATATATATGGCTAAGGTAATAAAGGATTTTAAAATGCACTTTCTACCAGTATCTATATGGAAAGAAGTAGATGCTGAATACCTCAAGATGCCAAGGAACCAGGCAACACTGGGAAGTCGTCACAACATGCTTAAAGACGACTAGCTACATAAAATTGTCTGCTGATCTATTTCTTCAGAACTGAACTCATACAATTGTCCTTCTCTGTCTTCTACTTTGATTAGACAAAGTTTTTATTTCTACTCTTAAAATACCTTCCAATGAAAAAAATACCATTCAATGTTTTAATAATTGCTTATTTAATAATAACTTCACAAAAGTGTAACAGAAACAAATTAAATTTTTAATACTTTTGATCTTTTGAGAGGCTGGTACACAGCTAAAGAAATTCCTTCTTTTTATCATACAAAATGACTTTGAACTCAATCAGAAGCATACACCTATAAATGTTACTTTGGATTTGTTTATAAGTTCTCTCATTGTAACCAAATTATTTAAAAATGTATAGTATAGAAGTTAACCTTGGTATTTACATGACAACGTAACATGCACTTAACTGAGTATGTTTTGGGGACTTCAGTTATTAGATTTCTTTTCAGAATGCCAACTATTTATTTTCCTAATAATGTTGGGTATCTACCTAGAACTATCTGAAAAGATGTGTTATCTCTGTGAATCCTTGGGGTTCAAAGTAAATAAGGTAAATTTTTTCTAAGGCCTCCCTAGGTAGTGTTCCTATTTGACCAGATAAGCAAAGATTATTTTAAAAAACTCCAGGTAAAATATCTTGGTTGTTTCAGCTGCATTAGTTGATTCTTCCAAATTTCAGATTTGTGTATTTCTTCTTATCCCTGACTAGGGTACCTGAATTCTTGCATTTGTCTCCTTATACACATCTCCCACAATACATCACCAAAGACAAAGAAAGATAAGCTTCTGGCCCAATATTTGCTTAAAAATTCCAAAGCACTAGGAGCACTTTAAGTTTGGTCTCGAAAGAAGGAGTTTTTGATGAAATCAAAGGGCTACCGATTCCCTGCTCATCCTGCACTGAAGCACATGACAAAAGACCTTCTTTTTCGGTTAATTAGAATGGTGAATTTCACTGCTTAAGTGTATAATTCTACAGTGATTAGCAGTACTTGTTTTTATCATTTCATTTGGGTGGTCATTAATTTTGAAACTCTTACCACTCATTATAGCTGGTTGTAGTTTTATGAAAGATGTAATTTATAGCTAAAGTGGCTTTTTTATGCATAGCTGCCTTTTTTATTGTTTAACAGTGTTTCTCAGCTATTCAATCAGTTTCAAACTGGTTGTAAAAGTATAGCTGTGGCCAATGAATGTATTTATTTGTTGTTTCACTAAATGGTAACAAAACACTACTGTTAAAAATAAAAGTGTGCTTTTATTTGGTCGTTTGGTTTGCTTAAATGTCCCCATTGACAACACTGAGTTTCTAGCATACAAGGGTAAGAACCCTAGTGCTACCAAAGAGAAAAATATCAGGAATTACAAATGACAGTTTGTTAGTGAGCTTGTATTTACATCTGAACATCATGCCCCTTAATATTATACACTGGTTTGATGTGAACTGGCATATACTTTAGTTTAAAACACCAGTATGATTTTGATAGTACATTTATTCAAACATTAAGCTAAGAAAAATCTTTGTATGAAATAAATTATAACACCTCTCTCTTTTTTGAATTTTAAACAGGAATAAATTTAGCTAGCCCGTAATCTTGGGCAGTTATTCTTTGATTATTCAAGAAATTCTTCAGTGATATTGCTTTTCCTCTGAAAGAATAGTTCTTACCATTTTTTCCATAAGGGACTCCCTTCATAACTTGCCAAAACCACACTAAATTTTTAATGCAACTTCAGGAGCTTTACTGACCTCCCCCCCAAAGTCCACAAATCCTTGGGAATCTATTGACTCTTGTCGTAAAGAATATTTGGAGTGAAGGTATGACCTCTAGTACAATAAAACTGTCATTTGAAAAGCAATTTATTCAACCAACATTTATTAAGTGTTCAAATGCCAAAAATTATGCTATGGAGATGCAACAGTGGATAAAGTTCCTTTTCCTGCCCTTAAGGAGCTCACATTCTAGTAAAGGAGGCTTAAAAGAAAATACAGTACAGTAAGCGGCACAATAGAGGTAGGTTGTAGTAACAGTGGTGACATTAAAGAGATTAGAGGATACTCCTTGGGTGGAGCAAGGGAGATTTCACAGAGGCGGGCTTTATGCTGGCCTGCAAGGAGAAATGGGAATTTTCCAGGTAGGGAAGGATGGCTAGGAGCACATGCACCAAGATGTGGTGACCTGACCCTTGGCACATTTGAAGAATTAAGTGTTTTACCAAAGCATAGGGGCTGGGGGCGGGACTGGGAGGACCTTGTTCAAGTGCTTCTAGAAAGACCACTGTGGCAGCATTGTGGGGTGCACGAGAGGAGACAGGCAGGTGAGTGTAGTACTCTAGATAAGAGCAAAGAAAAGGGAAAGACAGTAATGCATCAGAGATACGGAGATCAACTCCACAGCGCTTACACACTGACCGGATAGGGGAAGACGCAGAGGAGTGAGCCTACAGAATTTAGATGATGATGGTTCTGAAATTAACCAGAGTAAGGAACACAGGCATAAGAATAGAGCTGGGGGGAGAATGGTTCTTTTAAGACACACAGGTATCTGTGGGACAACAGTAAAGACATGTGGTAAACAGATGGATTGAGAAGTCTGGACTAATGGTAAGGACTTAGACATCATTGAATCGGAATTACCCAAGAGTGAGAAGTGGTGGTGATTTAGAGCAAGAATAAAATGTGAGGAATAACATTTAAGGCATAAATGAGAAAAGGCTAAAAAAGGACACATCCAGGAGCCCAGGAGTGAAATATAAGGAACCCGGGGCGGGGGGGCTGGGGGGGAGAGATTTTTAAAGAAGGGGCTGCCAAACAGCATCAAATGCAGAAAAAAAGTGAAATAAGAAATGGCTTGTGAACTGAACTATGAATTTAGAATTGGAATTTTTGACTTCAAAAGAAGAAATGGTTAGGAACTACAGAGCCAAAAGGAAGATTTTTGGTTAAGGAGCAAGTGGGAGGTGACAAAGTGATGATAGGAATATTCTTTCAAAAAGACTGACTTAAAAAAAGGGTGAGGGCATGACGTGAGAGTTAGAGAAGCACATAGACAAAATTGCCATTTAAACCCTTCCACCACATGTTCAGAGCACTACAAATGTCCTTTAAACTTTGCACAGGGTGCTCACGTCAGAGTCTGAGTCTCCAAGAATATTGACTTAATTAATAGGTAAATGTCTTTCTTTTCCTGCCGCATTCAAATGAGGGGGGAAGAGAGAAAATATGACACATATTGTTAAACGTAGCTCTGTGGTTTTTCATTTAAGATGTACCAAATACATATTCATACATTCATTCAACAAATATTTATTGGCTACCCACCATGTGCTTACTGTGTACTCAGCAGTACACCAGGCATTAGGGACACAGAAAAGTATACAGCAGTATAAAATGATATTTCTAAACCATTATATAAATAAACCCTGCTTTATTAATAATGTAACATCTCAACATGGTACAACTTGCTAGTATAAAGAGGGCACATCATTTTGAGGTATAGTTTCTTTTACAGTTTTTCTTTCACAATTACCATGTGATCAAAATTCTTAAACGCCTTCAAATATTTTTATCATTAAAGAACTGCCACTAATGAAAACCTCCCAAAATTAGTTTATTTTTAGGGAGAAGAAGGAAATGAACCTCATGTACAAAAACCAAAAATTATATGCCCTATGACTATACAAATCAAGCATCAAAAGGACAACAAACTCAAAAAGAACTTTACACCAGAACTCAAAATGATTCCTTATTCTAAGGCTTACAGTATTAGAGTTCCACACCCTTTTTTCCCTGAAAAAATCATTTAAAAAAATTACCCAGTATTACACACCAAAGTATTTAGGGTTCAAAGGGCATGATGCCTGGAACTGACTTTCGAATGATTTAGGAAAAATAGTATGCATGTGTATAGAGAGAAAAAGCATGAAAGATAAAGCAAGTATGAACAATTAGTGAATCTGGGTAAAGAGTTCTTTTGTACTATCCTGGAAACTTTTCTATAAATTTGAAATTATATAAAAATAAAAAGTTTTCCCAAATTTCTCCCAAATCCAACATTAGGTAAAGTATTATGAGAATAAATATATAAATCTATTCAACTTCTCACAATGTTTCGAAATCTCCTGTCTTTGAGTTGTCATTGTATTTTCTACACACTAAAACAAGCCAATCTAAACAGCAATATAATTCTCAAAGTGACTTATTTCATAGCAATGTACTTTTGGGTTGCCAGATAAAACACAGGACTCCCAGTTAAATTTGAATTTTAAACAAGAAATTTTACGTATAAGTATGTCCCAAATATTGCATGCAACACACTTATATTAAAAAATTATTGTTTATCTGAAATTCAAATTTCACTGGGCATTCTGTATTTTTGTTTACTATATCTGGTAACTGTAAATGTATTGAAAACTTTTAGGTTGTTAATTATGGATTATTCATGAGCCTCCCTTAGCATTTTCCTATTAAATGCTCAACACACTGACCATAGCTTTATTTATATTACATCTTCTCACACAAATTTCTTGAGAGACTTACATTTACTTAGTTTTAACACATATGAATTTGATAGTCCTGATTTTATTCAATATTAAACTTTAAAATTTGTACCACATCATCAAAGCGTTACTTTTACTCACAATATTATACATAAACTTAACACAATTAAAAAAAAATTGTTTACTTAAAACAATATAATTCTCCTTTTACAAAAGCAGCTTTATATAAAATGTTTGGCTTAAGAATGTCATTGCTCTTATGCCTTTGAATGAAATTCCACTCTTTGGCCTTCATAGTTCAGAAACAGGCACAATTCAACTTGTTTTCTGTTTTCTTTAATGAATATTTTGTAACAAATTCCTGAAGTTTTCTAATTCTTTCACACTTGTGGAAATTCTGTAACGAAAAAAAAATTTCACTCAGAAGATATTTTAGATACTTCTTCTCTGTTATTCAACACCGCATTTTTAGAGCACAGAAAAATTTTCTAGTAATTTATTTCAATACATTTAAAGATGTATAAACCATTTAGTCAATTTTGATGTACTTGAGTTCTTAATTCGACATGGTAAAACCAAGATAATACTGCCCTGAAATTATTTATTTTTAAGTATTCAAAACTTAGTACTAAAGTTTTAAAATACACAATTAGAAACTACATAAATATTAAAATACTTAGGTAATTTTTCTTTTCTTTTCTTTTTTTTTTTTAAGTAGGCTCCACACCCAGTGTGGAGCCCAACACAGGGCTTGAACTCATGAACCTAGGATCAGGATCTGAGCTAAAATCAAGAATCGGACACTTAACCGACTGAGCCACCCAGGTGCCCCAAAATACTTAGGTATTTAAAGTATTCATAAGTATATTCACATGCTTAGTATTCAAAGTACATAAATATAAATTACATAAGCATTAAAATATGTATTTTAAATATGCATAAGTTGGAGTGCCTGGGTGGCTTGGTCAGATAAGCATCTGACTCAGTTTCAACTCAGGTCATGATGTCAGGGACATGAAACCAAGCCCTGTGTAGGGCTCCCACTCAGCATGGAACCTTCTTGAGATTCTCTCTCCCTCTTCTTCTCCCCCTGCTCACGCATGCTCTCTCACTCTAAAATATATAAATAAATAAAATCTTTAAATATGTATAAGTATACGAATACTGAAAACTAATCAATATTCCACATTTAGTAAATATACAAAGAATCAAAGCTTTTGGACTATAAAAAGTAAAAATAGTAAATGTGTGACCAAATTGTTTTCACTACTTTTTATAAAAAGTTTGTTCATTATTTTAAGTGTATTTTAGTTCTGCTTTCCACCATGAAAAAAGTAGCTGAATTCTCAATGAACTGTATCCATCAAGTTTCTGTGTACTAGAGAATAATTTTGAAGGTCAGTTATTTCAAACCCAAAATATTAAATCATAATTTTTTTAAAGTGAAGAAATGTAGTCCTTAGAAAATGTAGCTTGTATAAATCTCTGCATTCTTTACATATGAAAGGCCAAAAAGAAATGCATCTATACCTAAATTTTGTAATGTTAAGTTCCTTATTTCAAGCTTATCTTCCAATCATTTTCATGAAAATTTATTTTTAAAGAATTATTAATCTTTTTACAGGATGGTGAAAAAGAAATTTTATATGTATGGCTTATATTACACAACATGATTTTTTCAGGACCTTCAAAAAATATTTGGGCAGCACAAGAACTACTTTTAAATAATTAGAAAAAAATGTACAAATTCAGTAAGATGAATATGGAAGTCCAATCAGTAATCATAATTATAAAAATCAATAGATGAAAGTAAAGAATATCACCTAATGATTATGTGTGTGCACATACTTCAAGTATTTCATAAGATCACAGAATTTGGTAGTGAGATAATTTCACTAAAAAGGATATTCCTTACCCACTTTTAGACTTACTTAGCTAACAGAAATAATTTCAGTACACTCAAACTCACCTTCCAAATGCGTTAAATAATGATACTATTTCTTGTCGGGTTAGATGGAATTCATAGCTGGGCCCGCTTTCTGGCATATTTGCTATCAGTTTCTCAGAAAACAAAATCTTCAGAGCAGTACCCAAACCCTGAATCTATTGCAGAAATAAGAAAAAAATAAAAGTCAGAAAATTCTTTGCACAGAGAATAAATGAAAAATAAGATTGAACTTAGATTTGCTTACCTGAAGCTTTCCCCATAGTCGACATTTAAAACAACCAACACAATCCATGATTCTTGAAATATTTCTAAAATGCAGTCGAAAGTCCTCCTAAAAACAATTTAACGAGATTTTTATTAAGATGTAGCATCTAGTCAAACACTAAAGTATTTTCTGAGTGCCTTCTACGTGCCTAGCCCTGTGCAAGGGATCCTAGAGGGCACTGAAAAAGAGGAAGAGAATTCAAATCCACGTTCACTGAGCACCTCCTGCATACCAGAATCTACATATACAACTTCATTTCATCCTCACCACAAATCCAAAAGTAGATTTATTATAATCTATACCTAATGAATTAAAAACACAAGACTCAGAGGTTAGGTTGCCTAAATTCCCATACGTAGTAAACAGCAAACTTAAACCCCAAGCCTGCCTGACTCAAAAACTAAACTCTCTGCAAATATACACAAAAGTAATGGAGCTGAAGTGTTCTGTTTTATGTGATGTTTTTGTTGCTGTTGTTGTTGTTGTTTTATGTGATTATTAACTACATGTGAACATGAGAGGAAGGGGAAAGGGGGAGGCTGGCATCATTTACCAAAAAACAAAAAAAAAGAAAAGAAAGAGAAAGAAGGACAGAGGGGGTGGGATAAAGGGAGGGAGAAATTTCAAAATATGGCTTCATATTAAAGTCCTGCCTTCTGGTATTAATTAGGTAAAACAATCAGATATTTTATTAATATTATTTTATTATAATATTTTTAATTTTAAAATATATTTATAATTAATTAATGTTATCATACCAAAATATGCAGAATATAGTGAACAGCCAATCATTTTTTTTTTTTACCAATCTTGAGAAAGAAACCATTACAAGTACCATGAAGCCCTCTATGTATCCCTCCAAAGTCCTATATCCTACTTTCTATAATCTGAATTTGGTGTTTATCGTTCCTTTTTTTTTGTTCCTTTTTTAAATACTTTTAATACATATGTATATATCTATGAACCCTAAGGTATTATGTTGTTTACAATTGGACAAAATGAATCCAACTCATCCAAAAGTAGTATATGTCCTTCAGGGATAAGTAAAAAAGAAGGTAAGTCAAGGACACAACCTTCTTTTACTCCAATGGAAATTATTAATCGATCCACCAAGTGACTCCCTCTGTCCTGGACTTACATTGGAACCCCAAGGTTACAGTATTTTAAGCAGGAAATTAGACATTCATTCATTCATTCATTCATTCGAGAGAGAGCATGCAAGCAGGGGTCGGGGAAGGAGCAGAGGGAGAGGGAGGGGGAAAGAAACTCAAGGAGACTGTGCTGAGAGTGGAACCCCATGCAAGCTCCATCCCATGACCCTGAGATCATGACCTGAGCTAAAACCAACAGTCAAAAGTCCAACATCTGAATGAACCACCCAGGTGCCCCTTGACATACTTTATGATTGAAAATCCATTATACCAATCAGTCTACAATTTGAGGAGCATGTAGCATTTCTCTCTTTTTTTAATGTGATAAACCACATACAGGGCTCAACCAGAAAAGAACACGACCAAAGATCTAAAAGTGGGAATTAATCAGCAAAAACTGGTACCCACTATTCAAAGTAGACCTCAATTCATTTTGGGGATAGTTCTTCCCCAGATGCTTTATTCAGCTTCAGAATCTGAAACTGCTGTAATATATAAAAGATTTTTAATGGATCCCAGATTTTGTATCTTTATTAATACAAATTTTGTATTAACTTAATATAAACCCCATATTATTAATATTATTACCATATGTTAACAACATTCTACATCTTCTGTTTTTGTACCTTTTGGACTGAGTTCAGTAAGAGGTAATTTGAATTTTAAACCAACTTTTAAAAAATATTTACCCAGTAATATTACTCTAAGTAAATTTTGGTGGTTTAAGGCTTCCTTTAAACTTGTGTTTCGACCTTGAATTAAAGAAAAAATATCACACTTTTAACAATAATAACAGCATAGTAAAATTACTCTAAAGTAGATGTTCCCATCCTATGAGGTGCTAACGTCTGGAGGATTTAATAGTTATCATAAGGGCCTAAAATCCATATGTAGATAAGCACTGTATATAGACAGAATAGATAAGTCATGGGTATGCACTATAAATTTCCAAATGAATATAAATATTATGATCAATAAAACACAACTTTTATTTAAAAAGTGTTACTAAATGCATAGTGGCCTTTTGGCAATTACATTTTCACAATCAATATATACTAAAAATACTACTGTCATGGGGAGAGGCCTTGAATGTTTTTGACTTTAGAGACTCTCACACTTGTAAAGGTTGGAAGCTTCTGTTCTAAAAGACTATGCTTGCTTTTGTAGACATTGTCTAAGTTCAGTATTTGGATATGTTTGTTGATTCAAACACTTGAATGTGGCAGGTCTTGAGTAAATCTTTGTCTGGCATACACAGAGAGTAAGCATGGTTGCTTACGATAGCCAAAATAACACTGCAAAATTAAAACCAAGTACAAGTGCGTAAGCTAACATAATATGCAGAACCAAATTAATAAGCTAGAAGTTTACAAGATCAGAACAAGAGAAAATATCTGTGACCTCCACAGGTAACAATGTCCAATAACCTAAATACATCCCAAAGTTATCTCAGATTAGAAAAATTTATGATCCTTAAAATAACCAGAACCTAAATCACTTATACATTCTTGTTTAGGTATACAGCTTTTAGGTCAATACTTAAAATTACAGTCAGGGGCGCCTAGGTGGCTCAGTTGGTTAAGCGACTGCCTTCGGCTCAGGTCATGATCCTGGAGTCCCTGGATTGAGTCCCACATCAGGCTCCCTGCTCGGCAGGGAGTCTGCTTCTCCCTCTGACCCTCCCCCATCTCATGTGCTCTCTCTCTCTCATAGATAAAATCTTTAAAAAAAAAATTACAGTCAGTGGGTAGAATGATCAAACATGCTGTGGTTATCTACTGTAATTTACACTCAGGGAAACCAACTGACCAAAAAACAATTCTCACCCAATTCTTAAATGTTTTAGAAGCCTTCAAGTGAGCACCTACTCTATCTTGAACACTAAACAATTCTTTCATACCATCTTCTATTTCTAACCATATATGATAGAGTATAAAGCAGACAAGATGAGATTTTTAAAATGAGCTTATATACACCTGAAACTAGTGTAACAATCTATGTTAATTATAAAAAAATAAAATTCAGGTGGGAGGAGCAAGATGGCGGAAGAGTAGAAGAACTAAATTTCATCTAGTCCCAGGAATTCAGCTGGATAGGGATCAAACAATTCTGAACACCTACGAACTCAACAGGAGATCGAAGAGAAGAATAACAACACCTCTCTGAACAGAAAAGCGACCACTTTCTGGAAGGTAGGACATGCGGAGAAGTGAATCCGAGGAGATATTCGGGAGGATAGATGGCGGGGGAGGGGGCATCCCTCGGCCGCTTCTGGCAAGTGATAGAGCCACGGAGCACAAAATCGGAACTTTTAAGAAGTCGGCTCCGCTGAGGGACGACACTCCGGTGGCTAAGCAGGGGGTGGAACCCTCATGGGACAGTGTGGTCTCAGGACCCTTTGGGTCCCAGAAAGACCAGGGGTGCCTGAGTGCAGCAGAGCTCCCAGGTATCAGAGCGGGGAAGCCGGCTGCAGAGACAGAGCCCAGGCGCAGGCTCTCAGCTCGGGGTCGCTATAAACCATGATCCAGGGCACAGTCAGGCCACTGCTCCTCCAGCAGGGACCCAACAAGTGGCAGATCTGGGGAGACTCACCTTCTTCCCCCAGGAGGAGAGGCGCGGGAGCGCACCGCTGGGATCTGCTGGGTTTGGAGGCTCCACACGGGGTCGTGTGCCAGAGATAGAAATGCTCGGTCACAGGCCGGGTGAGCACAGAGTGCGGCCAGAGACCGGGGAGATGGGAGTGATTGACTTCTTTTCCCTGGGGGCTCACTGAGGAGGGGGGCCCCAAGTTCTCGGCTCCTCAGGGGCGGAGATTGGGAGACCGCCATTTTCACTCTCGTCCTCCAAAGCTGTACTGAAAGCTTGCAGGCAACAAAAGCTCCCGAGAGCAAACCCCAGCAGATTACTTAGCCTGGACCGGCAAGGGCAGGGCAATTCCGCCTCCAGCAAAAACATCTGGGAATCATGGCAACAGGACCCTCCCCCAAAAGATCAGCAGGAACAGCCAGCCAAGACCAAGTTTACCGATCAATGAGAACAGCAGAACTCCAGCGCTAGGGGAATACTGCACATAGAATCCATGGCTTTTTTACCATGATTCTTTAGTCTTTCAAAGTTAATTTTTTAAATTTTCTTTCTCTATTTTTTTTTTAGTTTTTCCCTTTTTCAACCAACAACTTATCAATCCCTTTTTTAAAAATCTCTTTTATTTTTCATTTTTAGAGTCATATTCTATCCCTCCATAGGAGTTAACCTTATTTTGGTATATATACATAAGTTGTTCTCTCTTTAAAATTTTGGGACACAGTTGCTTCTAACAAACAAAATTTACCCTAAATCTCTAGTGTATGGCTTTGTTCTAGTCTCCTGCCTGATCACATTCTCTCCCTTTTTGTTTCTTTAATTTCTCTTCTTTCTTTTTTCAACCAACTTCTTGTCTTATAAATTCCTTTTATAAAATTTTTTATAATTTTCATCTTTACAGTCATATTCCATCCCTTCATCATATTTACCCTTATTTTTGTACATATATAAGTTTTTCTTTCTTTAAAATTTTGGGAGGCACTTTCTTCTAACAGACCAAAATACACCCAAAATCTAGTGTGTGGCACTGATCTATGCACCAGCCTGATCATATTTGATCATATTCTATTTTTTTTGTTTCGTTTTTGTTTGTTTTTATCTTTTTCTTTTTTTCTTTCTTTCCCTTTCTTTTCCCCTGGTTTCAGGTCTTTTCTGATTTGTTTAGTGTATATTTTCTGGGGACGTTGTTACCCGGTTAGCATTTTTTCTCTCATTCATCTATTCTCCTCTGGACAAAATGACAAGACGGAAAAAATCACCTCAACAAAAAGAACACAAGGCAGTACCAACTGCCAGGGACCTATTCAATACGGACATTAGTAAGATGTCAGA